GATAAATCTCCTACCTGGTCTCCCTGCCTCCATTCTCACTGTCCCTCTCCTCATAGTTCATTTTCTACACAGCAGCCCAAGTGATTCTTAGGGAACCTAAGTTACATCATGCCACTCCCTTGTTCACGATTCTCCAATGGTTTTCTATCACACTTAGAATAAAATCTAAGGTGCTTATCACAGTCTACAAAGTCCTGTTCTTCAGCTACCTCTCCTTACCCCTACTACCCCCCACCCCATTCATTGAACTGCCGCCATACTGGCCTCCTTGCTGCTCTCTGCCTGTCTCAAGTCCTTAGTATTTGCTGTCTCCTCTGCCTGGAAAGCTTTCATGTTTTTGTTGACTCTTAACTTCTCTCAGGCCTCTGCTCCTTATACTAGAGTAGCCCCTCTTCCCCGATTCTTTATCCTTCTGCTGCGCTTCACTCTTCTTCACAGTTAGCCACCGTATTTGGCCCAGTTCTTTTCCTTTTTGCTCTCAGTCCGCTTTCCCACTATTCCGCGCTCTGCCATGTATTGCAGGGACAAACTCAATTTTCCAAGCTTCCTTGCCATCTGCCTTCCAGGCGGGCCTGCCAATGGGGGTACTATTGTGGGCGACCGGAAGGTGGAAGAGGGAAGAAGCTCCAGGTTGCTGGCAACAATGACAATGGCAGTAACTTCAGCCCTGGCTGGGTGGCACCTTTTCTGCTGATCCAGAACCCACCTTGACAGTACTTCCAACATCGCAGCAGCAGAGCTATTAATGCATTTTTTTTTTTTAAATTTCTGGGCATTACTCTTTCTTCCTATTTGCTCTTCTAGCATTCTTATCTTCCTTTTTGTTCTTCTAGCCCTTTGAACACATGTGAAACCAATTCCTTCTAAATCTAGAGTAGTTTGTTTTTTTGACTGGACCTTTCCTGAAACATCTATTTATTTACTGTCTGCTAGAATATGGGCTTCATGTGAGTAGAGAGACGTTTGGTTCTGCTCACTGTAGTATGCTCCAACACCTAGAAGAGTGCCTAGCACACGGTAGGCATTTGATAAACATTTGAATGAATAAACTCATGAACTTTGGAACAACAGACAAACTCAAAATCAGGAAGCTTGGAAAATGCCCAAAACAAAACAAAACAAAATACCCCTTGATTATAAGTCTATGGTTTCTGGCTGACCTTTACTTACCTGTCTTTAATCAGGAGACAGGGCCTTTTAGTCTGAAGAGAAAACAGTACCTTAATACCTAAAAGATAAACTTCTGTCTTGCCACACACCCTTGGTAATGTAATATAAAAGAGCTGTCCATGCCTGTCCTACGGCATGAGGGCCCAGGACAATGCACTTACAAAACAAGACCCCCGGCTGTCCAAAGTTAGCCAGCTAATAGCATTTCTCGTCATCAGCAGTACAGCTGTAAACAGCCGACAGGTTTCAAGCTCTATGATACTAGAATTTACCCTGAGGCAGAATGGCAACATTTAAAATTTTGAGAATTTCTAATTTGGTATTTAGAAGTATGATACAATTACACTCAAGAATCTTCATGAAAACTTTTTACCTTGGTAAAAGAGGGACGATTTTTCAGGTACATCTGTAGAGACATCCCAGTGCCAGAGGGACCCATCCTCAGAGCAGGTGAACAGGTGGTCTGGGTTGGATGGGTGGAAGTGGACTTCCCACACTAAAAGAAGGAACCAAGGAGCTTATCCTGTGCAGATCAGCTGAACGAATATTAAAATCTTGTGTCTGGGCATCATTTCCCATTAACCTCCACCATACACCTTCAAACCCCAAGTCTGTGATAAAAACCAAAGGCTTCGGAATTTAAAAAAAGATCTAATATAACTCTCCAAATGGCTAGATCATGTAGACAGGACAGAGAAGTCAAGTAAATCTACTTGTGTACTGGGCCAGCAAAAGAATGAAAATTAATGCTAATCATCTGACCTACTACTTTTTTTTATTTAAAAGTATGACAATGGAATAATTCTGAAAAGACTTTAAAAATTGGTTTACGTTTTCTTATTTTTAATTCCTATGTCATTAATGCATGCAGGCTATATTGCTGGAAAGACTAGGAGAGAAGACCATAAAAGTAATATACAAATAAATTTCAAAGAGGCAGAGTCCAATTTTGGCTCATGCCAGGACTCTGGATACTTCTGGTCTATATCACAGAATTAGCAACCAGCTCCTAGCAAACCCAAACCTGGAAATACCCCAAGAATCTGGGATCTAGTTTCAGATGCAGGGATGTTAAGAAGCCAACTTGGGATTGAGGACCCCTCAAGCTCTACACTTTAAGGGGACTTTGTGTGCCAATAGACATCTGGGAGCCAATGACTGGCCAGGAAGTTATCTGCAGTCTTAGGAAGTTCTGTGTAGCATACAGATAAACCCAGTAGTCTGTAAACAAGGGTTCTGTGATTCTGGATTAGGTGACCTTAAAGAGGCAGCAATAGAAAGTGCCTGGGATGTAGCATAAAAAGTGCAAGGCACATGTTTGCATCCTAGCAATTTTCATTCGGATAGTTACCACAATTAAACATCATGTCACAAAACATAAAAACGTCATCTTCCTTATGAGGAGAATGTCTTCTGGGTGAGTCTCTGTGTAAAGTATATTCATACTGTGTCATTAAAACAAAGTGAAACAAACCAGCCTGTAGAGGTTACCAGAGTGGGAGGTGGGAGAGGTGGAAGAGAGTAAAGGGGGTCAAATGTATGGTGACAGAAGGAAACTAGACTCTGGGTGGTGAAAACACAACGCAATACACAGAGGATGTATTATAGAAATGTACACTAGAAGCTCATATAATCTTATTAATTAACGTCACCTCCCAAAATTAAAAACAAAAAACCCCAGCCCATACAGCCATAACCAAACTGCCCAAATCTAGATTAAGTATTTATTTATTTTCAAATTAGAAAACAAACCCCTATAAAATATCTTATTTCATTTCTAGCCAAGAGTCAGGATGAATTCAAAATAATACATTACAATCTACTACATGTATGTGTGCATTGCTTAACATTACAGTCTGGAAGTTAAAAAGGGGCTGGTAAGGGGCGGCCAGTTAGCTCAGATGGTTAGAGCACGGGATCATAACACCAAGGTTGCCGGTTTGATTACCACATGGGCCAGTGAGCTGCGCCCTCCACAACTAGATTGAAGGCAACGACTTGACTTGGAGCTGATGGGTCCTGGAAAAACACACTGTTCCCCAAAAAAGTTAAAAAAAAAAAAAAGCGTGGGGGGCTGTTAAGAAGAGATCTGAAAGTTTGTAATTCCACTATCACTGGGTTTGCCAACATCAGACTCTATCAGGGCATATCCTATTCCTTTTTATTCTTTTATTTTCCTGGGCATAGCTATAACTGGAAGAGGCAAAAATTTTTCTATCTTTTTATTTGCTTTATCTTAAATATAATCTTAAAAGTTTTTTTTTATCTTTCCAAGGTAATAATGTGAAACTTAAATTGAGAAGTTGCAGTACTGATATGTTTGCTCTTTTGTACTTTCATCCAAACATTAATACAAACTTCTCTCAAGTCATGATTTAAAAGTACAATCCACTTGTGCTCGCTTCGACAGCACATATACTAAAATTGGAATGATACAGAGATTAGCATGGCCCCTGCGCAAGGATGACACGCAAATTCGTGAAGCGTTCCATATTTTTAAACAACCAAAATGCCCATCGGTAGATGACTGGATTAAGAAANAAAAAAAAAAAGAGAGAAATCTAAGCTCTTGGGTAATAAAAAAATCAAGTGATCATAATAATTTCTGGACACATTTTTAGATGAGTACTTCTAAAAATAGCTTTATTTCTGTATTTCTAAAAATACAATCAGCTTGCTTTAGATCTTTTTTCTTACCCTTTATTTTAGGTAACTGCTCTTAAAAGTAGAAGTTTAGAACACTACTAGATAAACTTTTATTTCTAACAGTGCTCTGCATTTAATACAGAATTGAGGCAGAAGCAGCATATTTCAGTGTAAGGTATTATTTGCAGTTTTCTTTCCTCTCAACTTTCTGCCAGATCAAGTAAGGATAGATTTACTCTTTATCTGGCTGAGTAACTACTATGTGCCAGGCTTCGTGCTAAGTGCTGGGAATATGAGGTCAAGTCTCTGCTGTCTTGAAGCTTAATAATTAGTGAGGCTTAAATCTGGCAAACCCTGCTCAATTGCCTTCTCTAAGCGGCTTTTTTAGACAACACTAATTCGTGCTTCTCTCTCCCTGGAGCCTTTAGCATTCTATGCACCACTAATTCACTACCCTACATTTCTCTTATCATGCTCCTTTACATGCTCCTTTCTCTATAACTAAGTTAAGTATTTTTTAAGAATAGGTTACAGAGTTTATATTTGTTTTACCTTTCCAGTGTCCAATCTGTGCCTTGCAACACTAGACACAGTAAATGGCTTTACTTCTAGTCTAACAAAGGTTCCTCAAAATTTCAAATGTTAGACAGCAGAGATAGGAAGTAAAAACCAAGCACTTAGTTAATCCTTAGATAAAAATTTCAGTTTCTCAATAAACAAAGTTAGCATACATATGCTACACGCTCTACACATCCCATGTTTCTCCAGAATTTTTCTGGAACGGTTTTAGCTTTTCCCTCAGTTTTTCATATTTTACTGCTGTTGTATTTTTACATTACTCTTGAATACTGTGAAAATTAACATTAGAACAACCGATAAATCTCCTACCTGGTCTCCCTGCCTCCATTCTCACTGTCCCTCTCCTCATAGTTCATTTTCTACACAGCAGCCCAAGTGATTCTTAGGGAACCTAAGTTACATCATGCCACTCCCTTGTTCACGATTCTCCAATGGTTTTCTATCACACTTAGAATAAAATCTAAGGTGCTTATCACAGTCTACAAAGTCCTGTTCTTCAGCTACCTCTCCTTACCCCTACTACCCCCCACCCCATTCATTGAACTGCCGCCATACTGGCCTCCTTGCTGCTCTCTGCCTGTCTCAAGTCCTTAGTATTTGCTGTCTCCTCTGCCTGGAAAGCTTTCATGTTTTTGTTGACTCTTAACTTCTCTCAGGCCTCTGCTCCTTATACTAGAGTAGCCCCTCTTCCCCGATTCTTTATCCTTCTGCTGCGCTTCACTCTTCTTCACAGTTAGCCACCGTATTTGGCCCAGTTCTTTTCCTTTTTGCTCTCAGTCCGCTTTCCCACTATTCCGCGCTCTGCCATGTATTGCAGGGACAAACTCAATTTTCCAAGCTTCCTTGCCATCTGCCTTCCAGGCGGGCCTGCCAATGGGGGTACTATTGTGGGCGACCGGAAGGTGGAAGAGGGAAGAAGCTCCAGGTTGCTGGCAACAATGACAATGGCAGTAACTTCAGCCCTGGCTGGGTGGCACCTTTTCTGCTGATCCAGAACCCACCTTGAC